ACGAAATCGGTCAAATCGGCCAGAGTCCACTTGAAATTCATTGACTCATTCCATTTTATGGCAACCAGTATTGATAAACTTTCGTCATATTTAGAGGAAAAAAAGAGAATCACAGCCAGTCATTACCCCCAGAAACGACAATTCGAACTCGTTACACACAAAGGACTTTACTCATACGAATACTTAGATACATGGGGGAAATTAAGTGAACGCCAATTACTTCGAAAAGAAGACTTTTATTCTCGATTGAATGATGAGAATATATCAGATAAACATTACAATCATGCATGTGATGTATGGAGAAATTTCGACATCAAGACACTCGGTGAATACGCGGATTTATATCTGAAAACTGACGTCTTGTTGCTGGCCGATATTTTCGAGAATTTTCGATGGAGTTGTTTCGCCTCATACAACTTGGATCCCCTTCATTATTATACAGCGCCAGGGCTGGCATTTGATGCAATGTTAAAAATCACTGGAGTTCAATTTCAATTATTCCAAGACCCTGAGATGCTCCTTTTCATTGAGAAAGGCATTAGAGGGGGACTGTCGCGGTGTTCAAACCGATATGGAAGGGCAAATAACCACTACATGGGAGCTGATGAGTATAACTCTGAAGAAGAAAAATCGTATTTGATGTATCTGGATGTAAACAACTTATATGGAGCAGCAATGAGTCATCATTTGCCGAATGGGAACTTCTGTTGGCTGAAAGATTGGTCATCACTCAACGTCCTGAAGATGCCAGATGACTCAGAGACTGGATACATCCTGGAGATTGACCTGAAGTACCCACAGGAATTGCATGAAGAGCATAAAGATTTACCATTGTGCCCAGAGCATATAATCCCCCCCAAACGGTCAATGAAAGTTACCAAAATTATTGACGACGTTAAACTAAAAAAAAAATTACGTTATTCATTATACGAATTTAAAACATTATTGTAGTTTGGGCTTGAAAATTACTAGAATTCCTAGAATCGTGAAGTTCTCTCAGAGCTTATGGTTAAAAAAATATTTGATTTAAATACCAATTACCGGAAAAATTCCCAGAATGACTTTGAAATTTTTTTTTATAAATTAATGAATAATGCGGATTTTGGAAAAAGAATGGAGAACGTTAGAAAACATCTGGATGTAAAACTAGTTTCAAATTGGGAGGGACGATGGGGTGCTGAGAGTTGGATATCGAAATCCAACTTTCATAGCAGTATCATCTTTGATAAGGATTTGGTAATAATTCAAATGAGTCGTACAAAAATTAAATTTAATAAGCTAATATACGTAGGTTTCAGTATTCTAGACATTTCTAAAACATACATTTACGATTTTCACTATAATTATGTAAAAAATACTTTTAAGGATAGAGCAAAATTATTGTACACAGACACGGATAGTCTTATTTATCATTTTAAAGTAGAGGATATTTATGAAATTATGAAAAATGATATCGATAAATTCGACACTTCAGATTATCCAATAAATAATGTATATAACATACCTCTAAAGAATAAGAAGAAATTAGGTTTAATGAAAGACGAGAATCATGGTAAAGTCATGAGTGAGTTCGTGGGGCTTCTAGGGAAAATGTACAGTTTTAAAGTGTCTGGTGAAGATCGGCAAAAATCGCGGGCCAAAGGAGTGAAAAAATCAACGTTGAAGCGTATCACATTTGACGACTATAAAACCTGCTTGGACCAGCATAAAAATATTCGGATGTCGCAAAATATGATCAGATCCTTCAAACATGATTTGTTCACAATTAATCAAACAAAACTAGCTCTGAGTTGGCACGATGATAAGCGCATTCTCCTGCCAAATACGACAGATACTTTGCCTTACGGATTTAAAAACAGTGATATTGTAAATAACTTGTAAAGGAGAAAAGGTGAGAAAACAAAAATTTAAAAAGTTTTTTTTTTCAAAAAACAAATTTCTTTATTCAATGAAATTCCTCATACATGTGTCTCCTTAATCCACCCAACGATTACATTACTAGCTCCATCTTCTTTTGTTACTAGAAAAAAATAATAGTGCAACAAGCCAAATAACAAATATTCCCAGTGCTGTTGCTAAAAATAATATAGTAACGGATGATTGCTCATCTTTTTTACACTCATATAAAAACTCATCTAGTTGTACCTAATATTGTAGGAGGAGTTCAACTATTTTTGCACCATCTGTGTAACATTGAGATTTCTAGCAGTGATATATTCCGCTGATATCTCTACAAATGGTTGATATCCAATCATGGTTGCATATGATGTATAAGTCTCACACCGTGTCTTGATTTGAAGAATTCCTGTGCCTGAGATATTCATTGCATCTCTCCACTCTCCTTCACATGAAAAATTCACGTCCTCTCTCTCGGGCACTGAGTATATCCACCCCTTTTCAGTTTGCTTCCAATATGACGCAAAGGTAGAACTCAGCTTCATACTACAATTAGCAAGAGGTGAAATTTGTCTGCCAGTCATAAACATTGCAGCCTCACAAATTGGTTGAGAAGTAGCATCATAGAATGGGTACTTCAGTTTACAAATATACTGATGATCATCTGTGGTCAAGCATTCGGCAATATCTTTAGAGTGTGCCAAGGTATAATGATAGTGGCTAAGCAGCAGATAGTCGCCCCGAGGTTGAATGTACGCTGACCCTTGGCGGTTGCTGAACACTTGAACCGTAGGATATGGATACATTTTGTACAATTCCTATGTCTTTGAGTTTAACAGTAGGATTTTCAATATTACATCTAATTTCCCATCATCAAATCCAATCTTTACATTCAATTTTTCTAGTAAATCATCAGAACGTGGTTGTTCAATCGACAGAGGGAGAACCAATAACTGATTCCGTCTCATTGCAATGATATTATTGACAACACTTTCCAGTTTTGCATAAGTGAATAATTCAAAATGAATGACTTCTGCATTTGCAGAATGTATGGGATCAATTATCATTTCCAGAGAATACATGTACATATCCAGCTCGATTTCCAAACGTTTCGCCCAATATCGGATACTATTGAGCATTCGATGATGAAGCAATGATGGGAATTTGCCCTCTTTTTATGGCTCTTTGATTAATTTGACAACCTTCAAAAAATCTTCAACACAGGTTTCATTTTTATATTTCTCAATTGATCGAGCTGATCATGTAGGTGATGTAATCCTATTTGAGCCATCTGCCTGTGACAATCATTGATCGTTCGATTCAATATCTTCTCATAGTTGAGTTGGATTTTATTCCATGATCCGAAAAGAGTTTCTGAGATATTTCCAACATATCCAGAAGGTAGACATGTAGGATCAAAATCATGTGGAACAGGATTATTTAGTTTAAAACGATAAATGAAAATATATTTAAAACAAAGAAAATGAATTGATACAAAATGAACTAACACACCGTAAAATGAGCTAAGTCGCTCTACATCCTCTCTCAACACCCGCACGATCACAACTGACTCACTCCTCATTCTCTCATCCAGGCAAACACTCATTTTCTCTTTATTCCCAAATATTCCTTTTCACTAACACTCACTCTCACTCAATGCATTCATTATCCTAAAAGTGACCTAACACATCGTCACACAGGCCACCCTCACTCAACCAAGAAAATCTTCCAAACCTAAACACGACCGCCATAAAACTGTCACACAACGCACACGCTCTTCATCTCACACATTCCTTGACCAAACCTAGAACACTGGAACAACGCAATATTCTCTAAAACCTCAATGTTCCTAATGTTTGGTCTGAAAAGAAATCTTATTTAAAATAACTGGCGACACAGCGCCGTCACACCACTTCACTTTGAAAGAAATCTTTATCTCCTTCATTTCCACAAGTAAAAACTAAACCACCAATTCCACAACCTGCCATCCTGCACTGATATCGCCCTCGATATCACGATTTACTTCCTGGCATTTTCCTCAACAGCATTGTCGTCGTCATCAGTGAACCACTCGTCGTAATCCTTGTTTGCCTTAACCCAAGGTTTCATAAAATCGGCTGCAGAGCTCGTGCGATTGGGACCCTCGTGGTCACCAACCTTTTCCACCACATAGCAGTTGTTTCGCATGACCGTAACAACTTTGTACGGACCCAAAAACTTAGGGTACAGCTTGAGACCACCTCCAAACTGTGTTCGTTGAATGGCGACTAAATCACCAACTGCGTAGTTCTCGGCCGGTTTTCTTTAACGGTTGAATGTCCTCTTATACTCTTCTTGGATTTTCAGAATTTTGTGACTCGCTTCATCACGGAGATTTGTGCGTTTCTCCTCGAATAATTTGATGAATTCGTCCTCTACCAATTGTCTTAATTGTTGATCTTCTTTCAACTTCATTGTTTCACCAATCAAGAGTTCGAAAGGTGTCTTCTTGGTACTCCTACTGACAGTAGAATTCATAAACTGTTGCACGTGACCCACGTGTTTCCACCACTTCATCGGATTTTCTGCTGACAACTTTGATAAAATTGGAATGATCACACGGTTCATTCTCTCCACTTGACCATTCGCCCGTGGTACACTTATTGTAATTCGAACATGTTCAATGTTCTCTATTTTGTAATATTCGTCGAATGCGTTCGCCGTAAATACAGTACCTCGATCAGAAATAACACGCCTGGGATTTCCAAAAGTCACTGCCTGTAGCTTGAGCTTGTTTATTGTTTCCTCTGCTATGGTCGATTTTGTAGGATAGAGCCATACAAATTTAGTATGCTTTTGTTGTGTATTAATCAAGTTAATAACACTGATGTTTAATAATATGAGATTTATTCTCTATTGGACATTATTAAGTTATATTTAGTTGGATACGGTTTGATAATAATAACAATGGTCAGTCGTCGCGCCCGGTGGTCATCTCTGGAGGTGTTAACTCAGTACTGTGTATCGATAATCTGTATTATCGGTAGGTAAATTAGATCACGTATGTGACATCTCTCCCCTTGTGGATGTGTTTTTCCTCCCCGGGTCGTTTGTTTTCCTTTTTTCTAGAGAAGATCTTCGACAATGCTTGAGTCCAGTATGCTGTCTCTATAACGGTTTCTACCATTCCCAACGCATTGGCGTCTTGGTCTTTTTCGTCTTTGGTTGTGTGCTTGCTCTTCATCTTCCTGTCCTTCGTCTGCTTCCCCCTCGCTGGAGATGTTATCAGGGAGAGGGTCTTGCTGTTCAGGTTCGTTGATAATTTCCACTTCACCTTGAGATTCATCGGAGTCCTCCTGCTCTGTGTCCGGCTCAGGATCACCGTTCTTTTTCTCCTCGGTGTAGAATTGAGTGTTGATGGTTTTCTTTTTGTGTTTTCTCTCAGTTGTGTCGGGTGTTTCGTCTTGCTCTCTCGGAAACTGAACGAGCTGATTGATTTCTCGTTTGTGAATCAGTCCTATTTCTCTCTCTTTTACGAGATAGTTTCGGTTGCTCAGTGCCTCCTGCACTGTTGCTACTATCCATGTTGGTCCTGCTGCTCGGTAATTCCTCATTCTAACTTTATCCCCGGGGTGAAGTCTCCGTATTTTTACTGAGTCGTACCCCTTGTTGGTTTCATGTTCGTGGTTTGGGGGGAGTTTGTCTAGTGCTGTACGTAGTTTTCTTCCCATCATGAGCTCTGCTGGTGAGGCTCCGGTGGATGTGGATGGTATACTGTGTTGTTTAAGCAATATACGAGCTAGCTTGAGTTCCCAATCGCCTTCATTCAATTTTTTTAATGAGCGTTTTGCTGTATGGACCATTCTCTCTGCCTGGCCGTTTGCTTGTGGGTTATACGGTGCGATGTACATGGCTTTGATCCCATTTCTCTGGTAGAAGGCTTTTATTTCCTCAGATATGAAGGCTGTTCCATTATCTGACACGATAGTGTCTGGAATGCCAAATGTTGCGAAGAGTGCTCGCAGTACTTTGATTACATTAAGAGAATTTGGTGAACTCACCCGTTTGACCTCCAGACATTTCGTAGTTGAGTCCACGACTATCAGGAATGTCTGTCCTGCCATAGGCCCAGCAAAGTCGACGTGTGAGCGAGTCCATGGTTTATCTGGTGCTACCCATGGTTGTGTGGGTGTCTTTGCTGGGGCTGATAGTACTTCCATGCATTCTTGGCAATTTTTCACCATTGTTTCGATGTCCTTATCGATTCCTGGCCACCAAACGTAGGATCGTGCTGCTGCTTTTGTTCCACAGATTCCAGGATGATTGGCGTGTAAATATTTAAGCATTTGTTTACGTTGAGTGGTCGGTATGACGACTCGGTGTCCCCAGATGATGCACTCTTTGTAAATCGATAACTCCATTCTTTTTTTGAAGAAGTGTGTGTATTGAGGTGGAATCTTGCCTGGCCAACCCCGTTGGAGCCATGTCTTCACTTGCCTCAAGGTTTCTTCCTTCTTTGTTTCCTCAGCAATTTCTCGGCATTCTGGAATTTGCACTTATCAGGTGAGTGATTACCATTCCCACAGCGGAAGCAAGTTTTTTTTATAGTTATTCACTTCCCTTCGTGAGCTCTTGTTGTGGTATTGGATGTCGACTCGGCTCACTGCTGGAGCCTCGGCGTTTTTTAACATTTTTTGTTGATTCTCTGTACCCTCGATGCTGCATGCAATTTCTAGGGCTTTGTCAATTGTTATGCCAATTTTGTTAGTTGGAGATACGTACTCTTCGTGCCTTCGTCACAAGTATCTCTGAAGCTCGTGGTCTGCTAGACCTGTCACGAACCTGTCTCGGAGCATGACGCTGAGTGGTAGACTTTCCTTATCTCCACCGAATTTACAGTCCGCTGCTAGCTTTCGTAGGGCTGTGACGAAATTATCGAGAGTTTCTCCAGCCTTTTGGTCGCGTTTCTGGAAGCGAACACGAGCTAGTAGCTCATTGACTGGTTTGCAGAATGCTTTGTTGCATTTTTCTGTTATTGACGTGTATGTTGCGTCTTTGAGTTGCTCTGGGGCCATTAGATTCTTAATTATATTGAATGATTTAGAACCTACCGCCATTAGTAGCGTACTCTTCTTCATATCCTGCTCGGTAATTTTGTTAGCGTTGAAAAAATACCCACATCGCTCCAAGTACTCCTCTCATTTGTCCTTTGTACTATTAAACTCAGGCAAGGTGCCGATTCTCGTACTCATGGCTTGCTGGATTGGAGCTGGACTTTCTTGAGTAGCGGTGTTGTTCGTGTTATTTCCTTTAGCAACTACCTTTGAGGATTACTGATCTGATTTTTCTCCTTCCCCTGGCATGCGGGTTTTTCGGAGTCCAAGGTGGGTAAGCACGTGCTCTGGGCTTATGTGCTTGATGGATTATTCGAGTAATCTAGTGCTATTTTACCTGGATTACTTCTAACCGTGGTATCGAATTTTCCTCGTCGCCATTTGTTGTGTATTAATCAAGTTAATAACACTGATGTTTAATAATATGAGATTTATTCTCTATTGGATATTATTAGGTTACATTTAGTTGGATACGCTTTGATAATAATAACAATGATCAGTCGTCGCGCCCGGTGGTCATCTCTGGAGGTGTTAACTCAGTACTGTGTATCGATAATCTGTATTATCGGTAGGGAAATTAGGTCACGTATGTGACAGCTTTCTTTGTGGAGGGCATTGGACCCAAATGGTCGATGTGGTAAGTGTCCAATGGCACAGTACCTTTCTCAATGGGATTTAACAAACCATCACTTTTCCCATATTTTTTCTCCGAAAGTAAACACTTCACACAATTACCAATTACTTTTTGAACCTTCTGTCTCATGTTAGGAAACCAATATTCACGTTTCAACATAAATTCAATTTTATTCCACCCAAAATGTCTTTGTTCATGAACCTGCTTGATGACGTCATACTGCATTACTTTGGGTATCACCATAAGCTCATCTCCACCGCTCTCACGATACAATACGTCCTTCTTTGACATGGTGAAATCATCATTTTGTCCAGCTTGAACTGAGTCAATTATTTTCTTCAACTCAGGATCTTCTTTTTGCGCCTGTTGATTTTTTTCAATTAAACTGTCTCGGCCTTCCTGCACCAAAAAAATTTCAACGGGATTTCTGCTTAATGCGTCCACATGACGCATGGACGTACCTGGTCAATGCTCGATCGTGTACTTGAATTGATCAATCAATAACGCCCAGTGTGACACTCTCAAACATAAGTCTTTCTTTTTCATCGTTAACACAAACGCCTTACAGTCTGTCACGATCTTGAACTCAATATTCAACAGATAAACTCGAAATTTTTTCAACGCCTTCACAACAGGTAATATCTCCAACTCGTAACTGGTGTATTTTTCCTCAGCAAGGGTTGTCTTCCAGCTCGCATAATAGACCGGATACAACTTACCATCCTTGAAATCTTTCCGAAGTAACACAGCGCCTAGTCCACCCATACAAGCATCTCTGTGTAACTCAGTCAGCGCACCAACACGATATAACTTCAGAAATACTGTCAACGCCGCTTTTAACTCTTCGAATGATGCCTTTTGTTTTTCACCAAACTCAAATTTGACACCGTCTCTTAACAACTGAGATAAAGGACGTGCCTCCACAGCAAATTAAGGGATAAATTTACGAAAGTAACCCGTGAGTCCTAAAAAACTTTGCACCTGATTTGCTGTTTTTGGGATCGGGAATTTCGCGACTGCCAATATCTTATGATTGGAGGGTTAAATCTGTCCAGCCTCCACAATGTATCGCAAATACTCAACTCGTTTTACCAACAATTCACATTTTTTCCAGTTTATCACCAAACCGTATTCATTCGCCGTGTTCAACACAATTTTCAACTTCTCCAAATTTTCTTTCTCGTCTTCAGCAGGAATAATTAAATCATCCAGATAAACCAAAACTACACCACTGGTAATCAGTGGACGAAAAATTGCTCTAATATGTCTTTGAAAAACTGCCGGTGAGTTACATAGTCCAAATGGGACTTTCAAGAATTCATAGTGCCCGTCTGGCACCACAAACGTCGTATACTTGACACTCTCTTCTTCAACTGGTACATGGAAAAACCCATCTTTCAAATCCAACGTGGAAAATACTCGTGCACCTTGTAGTCCATCCAATTGATCCTCGATCAATGGCAATGGATTTCTGTCTTTGATAATTTTTTTATTGAGCCCGAAATTCAACACACACTCTTATTCCTCCATTTTTTCCTTCAGCGATCACTATTGGGCTAGCATAATCGGATACACTTGGCCTTACAATACCGTCTTGAATCCACTTTTCAATTGTTTCATTCACTTGTTTTTTCTGTTCAGCTGAGAGTCGTCGTGGATTCTGAAATACAGACACATCATCTTGTAAAATGATTCGCATTTTTACTCCTGTGTCCTTCGATGCCTTCGGTATATAATTCTCTACTAATTCTCGTAATTCATTTTTCATCTCTGGATCAGTCACGTGTTGAATTGTAACGTCATAGTCCTTCTCATTAACGTTACACACATTGACAATCAATACTTCTTTCCAGCCGATATCATCTGTCTCCACTATGTTTTTCTCAGAATCAATTCTCTTTAAAACTGCTTGTCTGTGTTTCACTCGTACTTCTGCATGATCAGATAATTCACCACCCACCAATAAATCGTGTCCAAGAAATTCGTCTGGAACTACATCAAAATCGAATGTGAATTTCAAATCGTCGATAATAATATCCGCCTTAAAACGCCCAAGTGTACGTTGGTTTAGCGCACCAACACCGTCAAAAGGGATCGTCTTTGACTCGAGCTTCGGGGCTCCGAGTCTCACGTAGCAACTTGACCGCATCAAATGTAAGTCACTCCCTGAATCCAACACAGCTGTAACCTCTTTACCCAAAATTTTGACCTGCTGATATGTTTTCTTGTCCCCTGAACTTAACGCGTCACAACGAGTGTTCTCTTTTTTTTTCTTCTTTTCCCTTTCCACCTCTGGTATTTTTCTTTTCTTTTGTACACTTTGTAGACAAATGTCCAAATTCGTTGCAGTTAAAACACCTTAGCCGTTTTTCCTTGTCTGGGCAATTATCACCGAAGTGCGCCTTGCTGCCACAATTAAAACAATGCAATTTTTTTTTTCCACCATCTCGTGTGTGATTGGACTTCTTCATCTTATAATTTTTATCATTTTTCTGGGGTTGCTTCACGTTCGCCTTCGTTCTACTATTTTTCTTCTGCATCTCATACTGCTTCAAATTTTTCCTCAACTCTTTCACCGTTGTTGCACCGTATAAAATTGACTTGTTCACTTCATCATCCTGAATACCATCGATAATGTATTGCAGCTTTGTTTCCAACTCGATGTCACCGTGACTGGCCATTTCCACTACGCGATATACATAAGCTTCTTAGGTTTCGTCACTTTTTTCTTCACACTACCCAATTGTTCATGCAATTGTTTACTGTTCACCGTTTTGGAAAATTCTTTGATTAACCTTTTCTTCAGTTTACTCCACTCTTTGGCATGACACTCATAGTTTGCAAATAATTTTGCGGGTCCATCCAACAACTTTTTCGTGTAAATCACTTTTTGCGCCTCTGACCATGAACACATTTCCGCGGTCTCTTCAAAAGTAGAAAACCAATATCGAATGTTTTGGCTTCCATCACCACTAAATCTTTCGAGTGCATCTTCAACCTCTTTAAACGTCAATGTAGAACGTGGATAACCGATGAAACGATAGATCCCATTGTTCTGGTCTGAATTGCCCCCGTTGTTCACGACAGGTATTTTATCTCCATCATCACTATCGCTTGAACCACCTTCAGTATCACTGTCTTCACTATTTGAACTACTTTCTTCATTTTTGTTCAACGCTGTTTTTAATCTTGCGATTAATTCCGCCTTGACACCCGTTGTCTTCAATCCCAATTCTTTGAGACAAGACTTCAAATCCTTGGTTTTCAACTTTTCGAGATTATCAATTTCATTTTTTTGAAAATCTCCACCACTTCTCCTCCACCATGTCATCATCACCTTTGATAGTTGAAACTGCTGACCTCAAGCGTTCAACTAGCGCCGCCTTTGCGCCTGTAGTTTTGAGTTGTAATGCACGTAATCGATTTTTCAGTTCACCAACTTCCAGAGTATCAAAATCGTCTTCATGTTCACTTTCTTCTTCTTCGTTGTTATCCATGGGGAGACCTTTCGACTTAGGTGTCAAATCAACTTTTTTAAGTCGACTAATCGACACTTCCTTTGACCCTTTGGTCGATAGGCCAAGCACTTGGAGTTTGCTCCTCAACTCCTCAATATCCAACTCCTCATACGCCTCAGCTGTCACGGAACCAGTCATTTTAACACCTTAAATAC